CACAAGCTAGATTTTTAAAACTATCTCAAAAATAGTTTTGGTAGAAGGTTAATAGGTGTCTAATAAAATTTTCGTTCGACTTGTCTTCATTCAGATTTTATGGTTATATACAAGATAATCATGCAGGAAGATAACAAATGTGGAAAAAATTTTTTATTACAAACATCATTCTACTTCTTGAAAAGGAAAGAGGATCGAAGTCAATCACCTGCGTGTATCTTTGAAGTGTTGATCGCACGTTTTTAGCAACAACGCATCCTCAGCGGAGACAAGGGAACGTGCAATCGCGATTGTCACCAAACAATAGAAACATATTTGTTGCCATAAACGAGACATCTTATCTGCGAGACTGAGTGCCGTTCGTACGTAGCATTCTGTCGTATCGAGTTTTAATCAGTTTTACTGCAACGGATTATATTGCAGGTCGATCGACGGACGCACATGTGTTACACATCTAACAGCACACATCGAACTGATGATCACCTGTGATCACCTTCACTGCCGATGACATGCGATGTTTGAACTGTGCGCAATGACTGTTGGTTATGCAGTATGCGCACCGTACGTTATTACATATTTTTACAATTATGTTTAATTTCTACCAATATATGACTTTTAATCTCGGTGTTTAGTTTACTCTATAACGTTTTCTTTAACTTTTAAAATTAGAAAAAATAAAAAGTAATTAAAAGTTTAATGTAATGTGTAGTGTAGAACTGGACGTTAGTCATCGTTGTCACGTATTACGTATATAAACATGTACCAGCTGACCATCAGAAAAACTATACTGCTTGCAGAATGAAAAAATAAGAACAAAATTTTATAATATAGTATTTATAATTAAGTTATTATAGTAAATCTGATATGTCCGATTATTATTTATATAGTATTTAAAAGGAATGTTTAGAATAATAACTTTTCTTGTCGTTTAAATAACATATAAATTCTTCCTGAATTGTGCTTTTAGTTATTTACTTGCAATTATTTATATTATTTATACGGTTTTGGAAGTTTTCCATTATAAAAGATATGTCATAAAAATGTTTATTCTCTTCTTGGCATTGTAAGCTGAAATAAATAAATAATATAAAAATATATTATAAAAATAAATTATTTATTTATACATTATTACTTATTTTACTAAATATGATAATAGTAAATATAAAAACAAATAAATTTTATCTCAAAAAAAGTACCCTGCATTGTGCCTCTTTATACGAGTCTATCAAGAATAATCACGTGGTTGATGACTCACTCACGCAGGTGTACAGAAAATCCCGCCGAAAAGATTTATTGCATCATCACTTGTTCTCGCCCAATGACGATGAGGACACGTATCGAAGATGCGCTCTAACAGCCAATCGCCGAGCGATCTTTCGATCACCTGATTTTTAGGTCCGTTCGCGTTGCTTAAAGGCCGTATCAGACTATCGACTTTGCAGGCCGATCCGACTACCGACTCTGATGGCTC